GCTTTGTTGTGCTCCTGCTGCTACCCGACCCGACCCGACCCTACCCGCACAGGTCCTGGAGCTGTCCGAGGAGCGCCAGCCCCCAGGACCCTCAACGTCAGGTTCCCAGCTGCCGTACTTCCGCCATGCCCACACGCACACCGGCACCGTACCGCCAGGTCGGCCCTCACCGCTCTCCGCGGGCCCGCGCGCCAGTGGGCGGCCGGAAGCTGCAGGCGCTGGCGGCGGCGGCGGTCGTGGCGGTGTTGGAAATGACCGCAACGATACCAATAGTGACAACAGTGAAGATCTGAGTGACGAAGACAGCTTCTTAATGCTGGAGGAAGTTGCGCCGCCGCCAAGGAAGCCGCCGCCGCCACCGTCAGCACCACCGGGAGGAGGTGTACGGCAGTCTTCCGTGCTGCTGCCTCCACCACCGCCCCGTGCGAGCGGATCGCGTAACGGGAGGTTGGCGGAGGTGGCATTCGTCGCGCACGCCCGGGGCGGCGGCGGCTCTTCAGCCGACGTCGACGGTGTCGCCCCGGTTGAAGACGGGACGGGAGCCGGCGGCGGGGCGGGGAGTGAGGACCGAGAGGGGCCTAGCCTGATGACCAGTACCGTGGTACGGCAATTCACCGCGTCTGTCCGATCAAATCACACTCACTTTACAGCGGCCTCACAACATTCGGCCGTCTCGGATTTCGGATTTTCCCATTCGCATACCCGTAACCCATGCTCGTTTGCCATGACAACCAACGGGGCTGCGTTTCTCTGTACGGCATCCTCTCTGTACGACATCCCCACCGGGCATCGGGTCAGCTTTGACCATCACCACAATACCTCGCAACCGGCGGTGGTGTCGTCCACTGGAATAGAGACGGGTCGGGGCATCATGTCGCCCGCGTCTTCCCATCCTCCCGCTCCCTTCACTCCCTTGTGCTCGCACTCGCACTCTCGCACTCTCGCGCTCTCGCACTCGCACTCGGCCTCTCACACTCTCGCACTCGCACTCGCGTACTCGCGCACTCGCACTCGCACTCTCGCACTCAATCGACGGTGGTCAGCCCCCCCCCCCACCACCACCACCACGCCGCACCTTCGCCCGTCCATTCCTTAGCATTACTTCCGCCCATGAGTGAGTGCGGGGCCCTCCCCTCGTTTCCCCTCCATATGCGCATGATGACCCCACCTCCCCAGCTACGTCGAGGAACAAGAGCACTGGCGCCCCCCCTGGCACCGGGCACCGGACTGCCCTCGGGAAGCCCCACAGCGCCGCGCACAGCCGCCGCCGCATCTGCCGTACAGTGCCTTTCTGAGCTGCTACAGCTGTTACGGCTGCTGGCGGAGGGGGATTTGGACACGGCGCGGGTGAGCTGCTACAGCTGCTTCGGCCGTCTGTGGGCCTTTGGTGCCGATGAGGCCGCCAGGCAGGGGGCTGTGGGGGGGAAAATGGAGGGCGTTTTTGTCCCGTTTTAGACGTCTGTTAGGTCCGATCAAAAACGCAACGCGTTTGACGTAAAAGATAATTGCGCGCATGTCACTTAAATGATGGGCATCCGATCTGTCGTGCTCACGTACGAAGGTTTTTTTTAATTCAACTTCGACAAAAGCACTGTATCCTCCTCCCGCTCA